GAGAGTATCTCGCCCGCGCGGCAGAGCCTGGCAAGCTCCCCGTGATGTATTCCATATGCCAAACACAGTAATAACAAAGTCTCACAATGGAGACGTTACTGGGCCCGCTCGAGCAAATCGATGAACAACGGGAGGACAGTGACAGTGACAGTGATTTATTTTGAAGAATTATTGTGAGGAGTAAGCAAAATAATGTTTGTAACTACTTATTACATTACCTAGCCCACAGACAAGTTTCATATGTCAACCACGATTTTTATTTTGATTATTTTTATTCACATTGTGATTAAAAACATTAGTGGGGTTGGAGCGATAGCACAGCGGATAGGGCATTTGCCTTGCACACGGCCGACCCGGGTTAGATTCCCAGCATCCTATATGGTCCCCCAGCACCGCCAGGAGTAATTCCTGAGTGTAGAGCCAGAAGTAACCCCTGTGTATTGCCGGGTGTGACCCAAAAAGCAAAAAAAAAAGAAGACATATTAGTGAGACAGTGAGTCTAGATATGATAATCTAATCAATAATTACGAAACTGAGTTCTTTCCTGTGAAGTGAATCAGCCAAACATAGTAAAAGTTAACTTGATTTTTCTCAGAAATAGAAATTGATATACTATTGTTTCTATCAAGAAGTGACACTGTAGCATTGTAGCACTGTCCTCCCGTTGTTCATCGATTTGCTAGAGCAGGTCTCACAACAAATTGTGAGACTTGTTGTTACTGTTTTTGGCATATCGAATATGTCACGGGTAGCTTGCCAGGCTTTGCCGTGTGGGCAATATACTCTCAGCAGCTTGCCAGGCTCTACTTTTAAAAAATATAACAATATAGGGAGCTGGAGAAATAGTATACAACTTAAGGCATTTACCTAGCAGTGGTTTTGGTCCCAACTCTGATGTTTTTTTTTTGTGGGGGGGATCACACCTGGCGATGCACAGAGGTTACTCCTGGCTCATGCACTCAGGAATTACTCCTGGTGGTGCTCGGGGAACCATATGGGATGCTGGGAATCAAACCTGGGTCAGCCGCATGCAAGGCAAATGCCCTGTCCACTGTGCTATCGCTCCAGCCCCCAATCTCTGGTTTGAATCTTGGCACCAATAAGGTTCCCTGAGCATCACCAGGTGTGGGGCCTCCCTACTCTCCAAAAGTACTATAAATATTTATCCATTTAATTTTGAAAATTTCCTTCAGTATTAAACTATTGAAGAGATATGAGTTCAATACGATTGTAATTTACACCTAAGCAATTCAATTTTAATAAGATTACCGTGGGCTGGAGCGATAGCACAGCGGTAGGGCATTTGCCTTGCGCACAGCCAGCCCGGCCAAGCCAGGTTCGATTCCTCCGCCCCTCTTGGAGAGCCTGGCAAGCTACCGAGAGTATTCAATATGCCAGACACAGTAACAAGAAGTCTCACAATGGAGACGTTACTGGGCCCGCTCGAGTAAATTGATGAACAACGGGAGAACCATGGGCTGGAGAAATAATGCAAGGGCTTAGGTGCTTGCCTTGCATTTGGCTGACTCTTATTTGATCCTCAGCACCACATATGATCCTTCAAGCACTGCCAGGAGTGATCCCTGAGCACAGTCAGGAGTAAGGCCTGAGCACTGCCGACTGTAGCCTCTAAACAAACAGGTTTCTGAATTTGTTTTGCTGCAGTTGGGGAGGAGGGGGGACACACATGGGAGCACTCAAGGACCAGACTCTACTATAATTTTTGTTTGTTTGGCAGCCACACCTGGTGATACTCAGCTATTACTCCTGATTCTGCACTCAGAAATTACTCTTGGCAGTGCCTGGGGGACCCATATGGGATGCCGGGGATTGAACTGGGGTATGTGCATGGAAGATAAATGCCCATTGCTCCAGTCCCTGTACAATAATTGTTTAATTCTCAAAAATGCAGAAGTTGAAGAGGTAGCTCAACAAGCTGGAGTACATGCTTTGTATGTAGGAATCCTGGGTTCAGTCCCTGGATCATATGGTCCCCAGCATCACATGAAGTATCTCCTGAGCACCAAGCCAGTAGGAGTCCCTAAGCCACGGGGTGTTGCCACCCACTCTAAAAAGCAAAACAGATAAAACTGTCAGTAAAGAATCGCTTGCATATATTAAATAAAAAATTGAAGGTTGGTACTGTTCTTATTTTATACAACTTTCAAAATGAGACCTCAGATGGGGCCTGAGAGGTAGCATGGTGGGTAGGGTGCCTGCCTTGCACAAGGCTAACCCAGGTTCAATCCCTGGAATCCCATATAGTTCTCCAAACTCACCATGACTAATTCCCGAGTGCAGAGTCAGGAGTAACCCCTAAGCATTGCTGGATGTATCCTAAATCCCAACCCAAAGCAAAAGAAAACAAAATTAGATCTCAGAATTTTGAAGTGACATTTACAAAGCTATTTTAAGTGGTTTACTCATAGTAAATTAATAAAATCAATCTTATTTTATTCTCAGTCTATAATAAGTCAAGCTATAACTTAGGTATTAAAAAATAAAATTAAGAGAGCTAGCTGATTCATTTATTCTGCAGGAATATTCTTGACAGGCTAATTAACGTTCACTGTCACCAAACCACGCAGGTATTTTTTTCCATTTCAATAGGGGAATAAAAGGTTTTTTGATTATTATTATCAGTCCCTATAATTCTATGTGAGATTGCTCAAGGTGTTTTTTTTTGGGGGGGGGCACATCTAGCAACTGCTTGATTTCTAATATTATTAGGTATTATTAATATTTAACAATACTAAGTATTATTTTAGAGTTTATATATATGCTATCTCAAGTAATTTTAAAGAGGAAACAAGAAAATTGGAATGTGGATTAAGGTCTGATCAAATTGCAATAATCGTATTTGAGGTGATGAAGACTGTTAGTAGTATAGAGGCAACAGAAAGTGGAAAGATATAAAAAATAAGAGATTACAAAAAGACTCACAAATGCTGAAAAACAATTAAAATTTAGGAAATACATAGAAGAACAAACTAGAAATAAAACCAGTTTGAAAAGTTACGAGAGTCATGTTTTGATGGTTATACAAGAAAATATGTTTTAAAGTAACCTAGATATGATTCAGTGACTCAGGTAAAAGAATAGGATGATAGCACTTTGCTATTTTTGTCTCAGTCAGATAGAATTAGATTACTCATAAGAACTTGGTTCATGATACTCTCCATGTGCTACTAAAAGGAAATTATTGACAATGTAATAAATACCCATTGACCCACTGAACAATAAACTTCAGTACCCTGTATGATCCCTTGAGCCCACCAGTAGTGATCTGCAGAGTCAGGGGTAAGTCCTGAACATTGCTAGGTGTGACCCTGAAACAAACCCACCTTGATGCAAAATGTATGCGTGTGTGTGTGTGTGTGTGCGTGTGCGTGCGTGCGTGTGTGTGTGCGTGCGTGTGTGTGTGTGTGTGTGTGTGTGTGTTGCCAGGAATAAAACCCAGGGCCTCAGACATGTGAGGAATGCATGAAAAACTGGTTCTGACTCAGTCCCCCTTTGTAAATTTTGGGCAGGGGAGCCCTACTACTGATTCTTGGCCAACCACTAGAAGATCATTGCACTACTGCTCAGGCCCTGTGGTGCCACTGCCACTCAGGCCACCCTGTGCTGGACCTTCCGGGTCACATTTGGTTGTGCTCTGGGGCCTCCACATCGCAGCTGGGGATGCTCAGGGGACCATGTGGTGCCAGGAATTGAACCGCTTTGCTTGTCATGTTTCCTTAACCACTGTGGTACCTTCTGGTCCCTGAAACTTTAAAAATATTTTATTTTTGGTTTGGGGGCCAGAACCAGCAGTGGTCAGGGCTTCCTCCGAGCTCTAAGCTCAGACATCACTCCTGGCAGGGTTTGGGGGACCATTTGGGGTTCTGGGGATCAAACCTGGGCCATTCATACACAAGGCGAGCACCTTACCAGCTGTACTATCTCTCCAACCCTCCAAGACTTAAAAAAAAATTCTCTCCCCCCTTTCTGTTCCTTTTGGTGTTATTTGTGGGGGTTGGGGCTCGAATCCAGGGCCATCACATAAGCAAGGCAAGTGCTCTACCATTAAATCTCCCCACCTTCCACCCCTAAGTCTATTGTTGTTGAACTCTTGCTTCAATGACAGGGTAACAGTTTTAGCTGTAGTGTGTGTGTTAGGGTCACACATCAGGTTGTGGTACTTGTCTATTCAGCCCTGTGCTCACTGAGATTTGCACATCTTGAACTGCAGCACTTGCGTAAATGCTGACTGGCGGTCACTCTTTTTTTTTCTCCTTTTTTTGGGGGATCATATCCAGTGATGCTCAGGGGTTATTCCTGGAGGTGCTTGGGGGACCATATGGGATGCTGGGGATTGAACCCAGGTCGCCACATGCAAGGCAAATGCCCTACTCACTGTGTACTATCACTCCAGCCCTGGCAATCACTCTTTAGGCAAGACCAGTTACAGTTATATGCTCGCTAGGGTCAACTGTGCTCACACAGGTGCTCACAAGGAGCTGTGATTCCTGCTCATGGAAAATAATTGTGGCTTACTTATTTACTTACAATGTACTACTCGCATAACATCCAGGTTCAATCCCTGGCATAATCTCTGGCCCCTCCCCACCAGCATTTGTATATTTTATAAATATGTATATGGACAACCTGGTAGGCTACTGAATATAACTTGCCCACAACGGCAGAGTCTGGCAAACTCCTCGTGGCGTACCCAATATGCCAAATACCAGTAACAATGATGGGTCTCATTCTCCTAACCCTGAAAGAGCCTTGAATATGGCACTTTTTAAAAAAATGTCAGGGCTAGGATGAAGGAGACGTTACTGGGGCCTGCTCGAGGCAATCGATGAACAACCGGATGGTCGTGATCGTGATCGTATTACTCGCATGGATTATGTCAGTATTTTTTGAGGGACAATTAGCATACCCTTTGTTGGGAAAAATATATAGCCCATTTTAAAAATGAAGTCTTTAAAAAGAATACTAAAATGTATTTTCAGGTGAAAAAATATACAACATTTTATAATCATCTGAAGATCTCACAGAGCAAACATGAATGATATTTCCCAGAAGGCTGAGGTAAGTATCAAAAAAAAAAAAGTTTTTCTGGGGGTGAAATACAGTATTTACTGAAGAATTGTTGAAAGGGCAATTATTTAACAGGTCATATTCAGAAGTTCACACTAACATCATGCAAGATGTGTTACGGGAACTGGAGAGATATTATAGTGGGTAATACAGTGAGATATTACACTTGCCTCTATATGGCTGACCCAGGTTCAATCTCCAGCATCCCATTATGGTCCCTTGAACCCTCAGGAGTGACTCCTGAGTGCAGAGCCAGGAGCAACCCCGGGACACAAAAACAAAAGTGAAAAATAAAATGTAAAAATTAGGAAGAGATAAAATTCACAGGCTGGTCTTGGTTCAATATTTTCATTTAGAATTTAGAAAATATTTATTCCTAAATTTGTGAATAATGCTTGTGAATATGATGGTTAGAATATCAAATAGAATATAATAATAATATATATATTATGTTTATATATATTTATGTCTTAGTTATTTTTTCAGTATTAAAAAACATATTGGAGGGGCCGGAAAGATAGTACATCATGTAGGCTTGCACAGGGCTAACCCAGGTTCAATCCTCTGCAACACAGATCGTCCCATCCACTTCCCAGAGTAATTCCTAAAAGCAGAGTCAGGAGTAAGTCCTGAGCATCGCTGGGTGTAGCCTCCAAGCTAGAAAAAACAAAAACAACCCCCAAAACCAGATTTGACATCTACTCTTAGGAGAAAAATGATAATTCTCTCTTTGATAAGGATCCTTTCTTCGTTTCTTCCAGCTGCTGCAATAAATTTTTTTAATCTGTTCTCAGCTGTAGTCACTATGTTCCTGAGGTCTATAGATGATAAGAAGCTGGATTTGCCACAGATTAAACAATGTACCATTATTTTTAGGAGAAATTTTTGGTTTTCTGAAATATTGGAGTTGTAGCGGTGTGTTTAATTTTTGTATTTGTAGTACCAATGGGTCAAACCCAGAGTCACACACATATAAGGTGTGCACTCTGTCACTGAACTACTTCCTCAGAGCATTGAGCTTAATTTTTTTTTTTTTGTAGGAGTACTGCTATTTATTCAGCCACTGATTAGCTGATTGAATTGTGCATGAACTCCACTGAGCTTAATTTTTTGTTTGCTTTGAGTCATGCCCGGTTGTGCACAAGAGTCATTGTTATGCTAGAAAATGAACCCAGGCCTCAGCATGCAAAGCCTGCACTCTGGCCTGTTGGACTATCTCTGTGGCTCCAGTGAATTTAAATTTTTAGATTAAAATAATTTCCTTTTATTGTTTTAGAAATTTTTTTCTTCAACCATTTAGTATCCTATTTGGAATGATACAATCTTGGTTTTTTGGTTTTTTTTTTTTTTTGCTTTTGGGGTCACACCTGGCAATGCACAGGGGTTACTCCTGGCTTTGCTCTCAGGAATTACTCCTGGCGGTGCTCAGGGAACCATATGAGATGCTGGGAATTGAACCATTGAACCCATGTTGGCCGCTTTCAAGTTAAATGCCCTACCCAGTGTGCTATCGCTCCAGCCCCTTATTATGCATTTTAAATGTCGATTTATGGAAATTCTAATCAGGCAGTGTTTATAGTGAGGACATATGTCAACCCCAGCCTCAAATGAGAAGTAAAGTTGTGGGCTTCAGCTTTGCTTAACTATGGAAAGAAGGTAGATTATATATAATATGTGAATTAGACTTCAGTTTTATGTTTTAAATTTTTAAATTTTCTTTAAATTTTGGGGTCACACCCAGCAGCATTCAGGGTTTATCCCTGACTCTGTGCTCAGGAATGGCTCCTGGCAGGGCTTGGTGAACCATTTGTGGTGCCAGGAATCTACTAGTGTTGGCCATAAGAAGGCAAGCAACTTCCCCACTGTACTGTTTCTCAAGGACCTAAGCTTCAAACTAAAATTTTGCCTATTTTCAACATTGTCTAACTTTCTGAAATTAGTTTTGATATCTTTCAAACAGGCTCTTTAAAAACTGAATCTTTGGGGCTGGAGCGATAGCACAGCGGGTGAGGTATTTGCCTTGCACATGGCCCACCAGGGTTCAATTCCCAGTATCCCATATGTTATCCTGAGCACCACCAGGAGTAATTCCTGAGTGCAGAGCCAGGAGTAACCTCTGTGCATCGCCAGGTGTGACCCAAAAAGGAAAAAAAAAAAAACCAACTGAATATTTAAGAATGGAGTAGGACAATAAAAAAAACGGGTTGTTTTAAATTATGGTGCAGTATTCAATTCTTATACTTTACTAGACTTCAGTTTCAGTAGAATGTGCTTACAAGGTGTTCACTCTTCTCTATAGTAATAGTTTTATTCATATTTCTGAAATTTTATACTATATTATTCAAACATATTCTGATGGTAAAAGTAGAGATTTAAGATTTCTGTTTCTGTTTCTGTAAGCATTTCTTATATTACTTGCTCTGTTCTTTCTTTACCTAATTTCTTCCTAGTCTTAAAAAAAAAAAAACAACTTTTTTCTTTCTCTTTATTTTCCTCTAATGAAGATTCTGCTTTCCTCATCTAAACCTGTCCCAAAAACCTATGTGCCAAAACTTGGCAAAGGTGATGTAAAGGATAAGTTTGAAGCCATGCAGAAAGCCAGGGAAGAAAGAAATCAAAGGAGATCTAGAGATGAAAAGCAAAGAAGAAAAGAACAATTTATTAGAGAGAGAGAATGGAACAGGAGAAAGCAGGAGGTTATTTTACTTTATTTTTTCTTGTGCAAATATTTAAAATGTTAAACTTATACTTTATTCACTTTTAATTTCCAATTAACTACTTTTCTGTATTTATATGCTAATTTCAAACCACATATGTGATCTAGTCTATTTTTGGAAATATTCTTACTAATTTATTTAACCACCTAGATTAAAGAAATGCTTGCATCTGATGATGAGGAAGAAGGATCATCTAAAGTGGAAAAGGCTTATGTCCCAAAGCTAACAGGTGAGAAATTTGAGAGGTAAATTGTAAATGAAATGACAAAACAGGAAATAGTAAAATATTAAGCACATTTCATAATTTTTTAGGTACTGTCAAAGGTAGATTTGCCGAAATGGAAAAACAAAGACAAGAAGAACAAAGGAAAAGAACAGAGGAAGAGCGAAAACGCAGAATTGAGCAGGACATGTTAGAAAAGAGGAAGATACAGCGTGAATTAGCCAAAAGGGCGGAGCAGGTATTTACTGGGTTTTTAAATTGGCATTTACTTCAGAAACTGTACAGAGTAAAATTAATTAGCATTCTGCCAAATAATATAAAATATTGAATAGCATCTGACTTGAAAACAAGACCATAAGCACAAAATGTTAGTATATTACACCTGGAGGGTAGGATAGATTGTTCCTGTTTTAAAATCAAGTACTGAGATGATGTTTTGTCATATGTCACCTTACCTTTCCGTTCATGTTCAGTACATTGTTTATATCCTTATTTTGAGGGACATGTTAGAGGATTTACAAATATGTGAGGCTATTTCACACTTCAGTTATCCACAAACATTTAATATAAATTATATATCTGTTAACATAAATGTAGGAGATATGCTAACATATAAAAGAACACTGATGTTTTGATTAGCATAACATTGATTTATTTATTAACAATCAATAAATATACAACTAGAATAACTTTGTTTTCAATTTATTTGAAATAAGAGCAAGAGAGATAATACAGTGGGTAAAGGTAGGGCATTTTTTGCCTTGCATGCAGCTGACCCAGGTTTGATCCCTAGCATCCCATATGGTCCACTGAGCCCTGCCAGGAATAATCATCCCCTAAACCCTGCCACGATTGATTCCTGAGAGCAGAGATTGGAGTGAGCCCTTCGCACTGCTGGGTGTGGCCTCCAAACAAACCAACAAAAAAATAAGTTCAATTACTTTTTATTTAATTATGGTGTTCGCTAGATTATTGACTCTTTTTTTGCAGTGGTGATAAAGGGAGAAATGTCTGATTGTCATTTCCTACATAAGTCATTACTGATTCCCACAGCCAGAGAGAACAAATTGGAAGAGGAAAATATTATTGCTGTAATTTTTAGTTTTATATTATCTCTTAATGAACTTAGAATTCTCATATATTTTAACTTAGCTCTTTTGAGGACTAAGAGACTGGTAAGTATTTTTATAAGTTCTTATTTCCAGAAAAATGCTGATCTCTCAAAACTGATTAATGATTATAATGTCATCAGAATTTAACATTATAATAGTCATAATTATAGTGTGTCAAGAACATTCACAAAAAAGTCTTTAATGTGTTTGTATTTGTCTTACATTATAAATTATCTGTAGTCTTTAAGTTGAAAAGATGACAGAGGATAGGTAGTGATAGCATAGCGGGTGGGGCGTTTCCCTTACCAAAGACCACCAGGAGTGATCCCTGAGTGCAGAGGCAGGAGTAAGCCCTGAGCTCCACTGGGTATTGTATTATAACCCTCTCCCCGTTTTTCTCCCCCCCTCACCAAAAAAGATGGCACAGGATAGTTACATTTGTTTATGTACCTCAACTTGGTCTACATTGTATAAAATTCAAAAGAGATGATCAGATTACCAATCTTAATAAGCTAACAATGATATTTGTCTCCTAGAGTTGTTACTAAGATTGATTTAATAAATGCAGAGCATTTAGAACAGTGCCTGTACGAAGTAAGTGGGTTCAGACTGGAGAGAAAGTACAGTAGGTAGGTTGCTTGCCTTCTGACTGACCAGGTTTGATCCCTGGCACCCCGTATAGTCTCCTAAACAACACCAGGAGTGATCCTTGAGCACAGAGCCAGGAGTAAGCCCTGAGCACCACTGGGTGTGGCCCCCAATACTAAAATAGGGAGGGGGAGGGGAAAAAAGAGGTTATTTAGTATCTGAGATATTGAAAAGGGTGCAGGGGTCAGAAAGATTACTACTTTTTTAAAAAAAGATATGACTATTTTTTTCAGGGCCAGGGTGATAGTACAGCAGGTAGGTTGCTCGCCTCGCAAGTCACCAAACTGGGTTCAATCCCCATCATCCCATATGGCTTTCTGGGCACCACCAATAGTGACCCCTGAGCACAGAGCCAGGAGTAAGCCCTGAGCATTACTGAGTGTGGCCCCAAACAAAAACAGAAAGGTAGTACAGCAGATGAAGTACTTTGCCTTGCACATGGCCAACCTAAGTTTGATCCTCACCACTCCATGTGATTCGCCCCCAACACTAGCCTGCCAGGAGTGATCTTTGACTGCAGAGCCAGGAGTAAGCCCTGAGTACAGCCATGTGTGAAACCTCCAAATATATAAATAAATAAGTAAATGAAGGCCCCAAGAAGAAAGTTGATATCAATCATAGCTCCCAAAAGTCAACATTATAATGAATTTCTGAATATCACAGTTCTCTGAATATGTCAACAACATGGTCCCTTAAGAAAATTAATTCTTTCCCCTATTTATTGAAACCTAAGTGTGTGTGTGTGTGTGTGTGTGTGTGTGTGTGTGTGTGTGGTGTGTGTGTGTGTGAAGGGAATTGTCCTTCATAATCTTAGTAATTAATGATTTATATGAGCAAGAAGCAAACAGAAAAGTAACACAATAAAGAAAAATTCCCTTCAAATATATTTTACTTTTTTACCATAACCTAGGGCTGGAGCGATAGCACAGTGGTAGGGCGTTTGCCTTTTGCGCAGCTGGCCCGGCCGAGCCAGGTTTGATTCCTCCGCCCCTCTCGGAGAGCCCGGCAAGCTACCCAGAGTATCTCGCCGGCACGGCAGAGTCTGGCAAGCTACCCGTGATGTATTCGATATGCCAAACACAGTAACAGCAAAGTCTCCAATGCAGATGTTACTGGGCCCGCTGGAGCAAACCGATGACTAACGGGAGGACTGTGACCGTGACCATGACCATAAGCTAATAAAAATACAAGGTAACAAGAAAAAGAAACTATGGGTTAAAAAATTTAGAATTAGGATCAGAGATGTAGTTCTATGGTGGAGCATATACTTCACATATATGACCCCTACATCGGATTCCTGAGACTTCATCTTTTAGGAAAAAAAAAAGAGAAAATTTAGAATTTCTCTTCTTAAATTCTACCCTTTCTCTGTGTATCCTAGAACTTTCAATCAAGAAATTTGCATGATCTGTAAAGGAACTCTGAGCATCCTCCCCTGCACCCTGGGCTATGGGGAGTGTGGGAGGGATAATGATGTGGCCAACTGTGGCTGTTTTTGACTGTTCATGGGCTCTTCCTGCCTCTGTACTCAAGAGCAGCCTCTAGTGGCGCTCACATTAAAGGCAAACCCATGGCGTGGCCTTGTCCATTGCAGTGGGAAGACTGGAAGACCTAATTCCTACTCTGATATCTCCCCTTTTACTCTTTGTCTTAAACACACACGGACACAGAGAAAGCACCAGCTGTTCAGTACAGGTTTAGGATATGGTCTCTGAGCTAACGTAAGCGACTCCTTTACTGTTTTCTTTCTCTCTTAGATCTAAGTTCTATGTTCTTATCTATTCCAGATAGCTTTCTATTTTATGACTTGATTCTCTACTTCCTTTTATATTAAAACATTTATTTCTATTTTTTTTAAACAAATGTGTGAATCTCTTGTGTCTCCTTCACCCTTGGGTTAGTTACCTTCAACCAGGACTGATCACAACTGATGGAAATGTCCAGTTAAACCCAGAACTTAAACTTAATTGAAAAACCAAACCAAACCAAAAAAAAAAAAAAAAAAACCACCTCGAGTCTTATGACTCGGTGAGTGAGAAATCTACTGTGCTTTCCCCTGTCAGGATTGTCGAACTGAAATCTTGATGTTAATGTGATGCTAGGGATTTGAATCAGGGTCATGGCTACCACAGCTGAGAGCAAGATAAGTGCCTCATCTCTTGTACTGTCTCTCCAGCCCCAGCAATTTTGTTTTTGCTTTGTTTTGTTTGGGGGCCACACCCAGCAATTGTCAGGGGTTATTCCTGGCTCTGCACTCAGGAACCACTCCTGGTAGTGCTCCAGGGACCATATGGGATGTTGCAGATGAAACTTACCCGCTGTACTATCGCTCCAGCCCCTAAAGTATATATATTTTTTTTGGGGGGGGGAATAATTTTTGAAGCACTTGCTATCTTTTTTTTTTCTTTTTGGGGATCACACCCGGTGATGCTCAGGGGTTACTCCTGGTTCATGCACTCAGGAATTACTCCTGGTGGTGCTCGGGGGACCATTTGGGATGCTGGGAATCAAACCCGAGTTGGCTGTGTGCAAGGCAAACGCCCTACCCTCTGTGCTATCGCTCCACTCCCAACACTTGCTATCTTAATAAAATGTATCATTTCTTCCTTTGACAGAGTATATCGAAAGTGGGATCATGACAAAAGTGTATGAAGCCAACTCAGTTTCTTGAATGAGCCAGGGGAATACAAAAATCCCCTTAGCTAGAATTGGGACAATGACTCAGTGGCTTAAACATCACATCCGTCAAGTGTGAGACCATGAACTTAATCCCTGGTTCTGCTCAAATTCCCTTAGATTTGTGAGGCACAAATGATAACCAAACTCGTTTGCCAGTGATAAAAGACAAATTAAAATAACAAATTGTACAGTGGCCAGAGATCTTGGTGGAACCTTCAAATGTTAAGTGGCCACAAGCCTGAGCTCAGCCACCGACTGAGACACACAGAGACAGGACATATTTTTTCAAGGTTTATTCACACACCAAAACAAACCTATACGGGCTGGAGGGATAGTACAGCGGGTAGGGCGTTTGCCTTGCACGTGGCCGACCCGGGTTTGATCCTCAGCATCCTATATGGTCCCCTGAGCACCCCCAGGAGTAATTCCTGAGTGCAGAGCCAGGAGTAACCCCTGTGCATTGCCGGGTGTGACCCAAAAAGCAACCAAAACAAAACAAAACAACAAAAAAAATTCATACAAGGGACTCACCGCTGATGGCACTCATACAAAGGATTTAGCACTGGAGGGTTCACAAGCCTAAGAGACTTGGAACTGCAATCAACCTCCAGGACAGGTTTTTAAGCCCTATGCCCTCCTGCCTGCGTGCATGTCTTTGTGTCTGGGTACCCCTCTCTCTGGTGCATTCTCATGGCCTTGAGCAAGCAAGTGCAGGGTACAGAAGTGAAACAGCAGTTAACACATCATGTGACTTTTATTTGAATCATCCTTGTTATCTGTGGTCAGATGTCTGAGTGTTTATGTCCATGACCTTGGGGTCTGGCATATTTTTCTTACTAGGTCATAAACTCATGATCCTGAGGCACAAAATGGAGTCTGTCTTTCCAAAATGGACTCACAGTGGTTCTTTTACAACCACCAGAATTTTTGCTTTCTAACTTTTCCCATTGCTAGGTTGTTTTTTTTTCCCCCTTCATTTCCAGATATCAGATTGATTTATGTCTCCTCACATTTCTCAGTTTTTTATGTTCATTCATTTTTGTGTTTTAAGTTTGCCCCTGAAGTTAACCTAATGACATTTTTTATGAATAAATGGACAAATTGAGGGCCTTTCCTACTTAGATCTGGTCAAAATATAAACAATTAACAATTATGATAATAGTTTTTATATTGTAGAATATTGTCATGATTATCTGATTGCTAATAGCAGCTTTTTCCTTTTGCTGGGACAGAGAAAAAAAAATAAAAAATTGTTTTGTATATGTTTAAATTACAAATTCAAGTAGTAGTTGCTATTTGTAAGCTCACAGTCATGCCATAAGAAAATGGTCCATTATTTAAATCCCCAAATTACAAAGATAGATTTTTTTTGGGGGGGGGGCCATACCTGGTGGTGCTCAGGCTTACTCTTGACCATGTTCAGGTAACCATATGCATGTCAGGAATCAAATCTAGGTCAGCTGCATGCAAGGCAAGCACTCTACCGCCTATACTATCTCTCCAGTCCACAAAGGTATACTTTATCTTAACACATTGTTCTCTTGATATTGATATTCATATCCAAATTCAAAAACTAATAAAAGGTTTAATTTCCGTTTAAAGGGACATAATTGGCCTTTAAACACAAAATATTTCTAAAATCATAAACTAAAAAAAATTACCATAAGTCATAAAGAAATCACTGCTCAGTTGTATGTTTAAAAGCAAAAAGCAGAAATCCAATGTAATGTAATGATATGAAATTCTCATTCAATAGATTGAGGACATAAACAATACGGGGACTGAATCAGCATCAGAGGTAAATGGACATTTCCTTTAATGAAACATTCACCTGAAATTATCTGATTCACAAATAATCTTTTCATTAAAAATTTTAAAGTTTTTGTAATTTTTTGTTACAAATACAGCAATAAAAAGAGCAAAATAATTTGCAAAGCAGGATCATACTTTCATTTCAAACACTATAGCCATAGTGTTTTTAAAGAAAAGTATGTTTTTGCTCACGGTAACTTCAGAGATATAGTCTTGTTTGAGATACTCTACCAAGACTGTTTCTTGAACTGTTGCCAATAGTTGAGATTACAAAAGCTAACATTTTTAAAACATGCATTTCTTTTCATCCTATCTCCTTTCCTCAGAGTTTTTCATAGTTTTGTTTTGGTTATCACATACTAGAAGAGTGCAGTATCCATTAGCATGAAGGAATGTTCAATTACAACACTTTAGTTATATCTTTTTATCTAACAGAATAAGTGAAAATGTAATCAATTTGATGGTGTGCCTAAAAATACAGCTAAATGAAGCAAATTTTTGTTGAGAATGTGAGTTATATTATTACATGTACATATTATAATTCCACTTTATTAAAAAAATCCCAGCAGCAAAATAGGTTATCTAATATTATTCATTCCAGTTAATTTCCAATTAATTTCTAAAACAAATTTAAGATTTTATTTTATTTTGTTTTATTATCACCATTATGCTTTTTTAGATCATACTCAGCAATGCATAGGGGTTACTCCTGGCTTTGTACTCAGGAATTACTCCTGGTGGTGCTCAGGGGACCATATGGGATACTGGGAATTGAACTCAGGTCAGTCCATGTGCAAGGCAAACACCCTACCTGCTATACTATCGCTCCAGTCCCAAATTTAAGATTTTAATAGGATCAGATATCAAGAGTATTGTCTGTGGTTTTCAAATCCCTTAAAAATGCTCTTTTGGGGGCCCAGAGTAATAGTACAGAAGGTGGGGTGTTTGCTTTGCACATGCCAACCTGGGTTTGATCCCTGACACTGAATATGATTCCCTGAGCCTGACAGAAGTGATCTCTGCAGAGCCAGGAGTAAACATCAACCAGTTTGGCCCCCAAACAAACAAAACAAAAGTTCTTTTTTTCTCATTAAATATTAGTTTTATTAAGCCTTTTTAAACTTTCATGATGAGAAAAATCATTTGGAAAGATTGTTTTTGTGATTTAAACTGAATCCGTCCACCATCAAATTGATTTAGCATAAATGTATATGCACATTACCATCATGGGACTGCCAGAAAAACTTTATTAAGATCATCTTCTAGGAAATAAGATGCTTCTTGGACCTTGTCAGCAGTGGATTTCAAAAATATTAACCATAATACAACAAAACAAGAAAAAAAGATATATTTAGTAGTGACATGTCAAAAATGCAAATTTTTAATCATTGTCACATTGATGGAAGTGTAATGAAATTCATCCCCGACGGAGGTAAGATTCCATGAAACCTAAATTTTGATTAGAATAAATATACTAAAATTATCTATTTTATAAATTAGGAAGGAGATGATTCACTACTTATAACAGTGGTACCTGTAAAATCACACAAAATATCTGGAAAAACAAAAATGAATTTTGGAGATCCAGAAAAAGAACAAGAAGAAAAAGAAAGGGCCAAAGATGAAGAAGATGAGAGAATAAGATATGAAGAACAGCGACGATCTCTCAAGGAAGCAAAATGTCTTTCATTGGTCATGGTAAGTGTGTGTGTGTGTGTGTGTGTGTGTGTGTGTGTGTGTGTGTGTGTTGCACTAGCACAGGCTCTGGGACTTTAATCACAATAAAGGTCACCCAGGATACTGTATTGGAACTTAGGTTCAGGCACTTGCTGGCCTGCTCTACCTGCAGTCACCAGGGACCCCTCTCTTTAGTTACAGCTTAACTTAATGGGTCCTAGAGCACTATGTGTATGGGTGAGGAGGGGTCATGGTATTTTTTTGTTTGTTTGTTTTTGTTCTTTTTGTAGGGCATTTGCCTTGCACACAGCAGACCCAGGTCAACCCGGGCTGGATTCCTCCGCCCCTCTCGGAAAGCCTCGCAGGCTACCGAGTGTGTCCCGTCCGCAGAGCAAAGCCTGGCAAGCTACCCGTAACGCATTCAATATGCCAAAAACAGTAACAAGTCTCACAATGGAGACGTTACTGGTGCCCGCTCGAGCAAATCGATGAACAATGGGAGGACAGCGCTACAGTACTACAGTTTTTGTTTTTTGGGGGGTGGGGGGCACAACTGGAAGTGCTCAAGAATCACTCCTGGTGGTGCTTGGGGACCATATGTGATGCTGGGGATTCAACTGGAGTTGGTTGCGTGCAAAGCAAATGCCCTTCCTCCTGTACTATGGCTCTGGTCCCTATTTTATCTTTTTTAAAGGAACTAAATCAAGCAGTTAAACTGGTTAGCAGCATTTCTTTATAATTAACAGATGTGCTCTCATGATGTTTTCTTAGGATGATGAACTAGAGAGCGAGGCAAAAAGAGAATCACTCTCTCCTGGAAAACTGAAACTAACTTTTGAAGAATTAGAAAAACAAAGGCAAGAAAATCGAAGAAAGCAAGCTGAAGAGGAAGCAAGACAACGCTTAGAAGAAGAGAAGCGTTCTTTTGAAGAAGCAAGGCGCCAAATGGTAAAACATATTTTACATATGCTATATAAGGATTTTGTATAACATATAATACATTCTACAATAATTCCAATATCATTTTACCCACTGTCACTCCAGCTCCATTGGGGCTTCCTAATGCAAAATACGTGCTTCAGCCCATTGAGTGATCTCCCCAGGTCTGGCAGCTTGCTTTAGACAGGGTTTTTCTATACATTTACGGAGACTTTCTTTATAAAAGAGTCTGATCTGGGGTCAGAGAAATTGCACAGAAGGCAAGACACTTCCCTTGCATGCAGTTGACTCCAGTTTGGAATCATTGGCACCAGATATATTCCCCTTGAGCACTGTCATGGGTCACTCCTGGGCACAGCCAGGGTGAATACCTTATTATCATAGGGTATGGCCCCCAAACCAAGAAAAATAAAAGGGGATTAATTTTAATTCTTTTATTTCTTTTTTGCCAAACCTGGGAATGCTCAGGGGTTACTCCTAACTCTGCATTCAGGCATTAACTCCTGGTAGTACTCAGAGGACCATATGGGATGCTAGGTTGGCTGTGAGCACTGCAAGTGTCCTACCTGCTATAAAATCACTCCAGTCCCTGATTTTAAAAACTGTGTACATATTATGTAAAATGAATCTGTAATATTTTCTAGTTTGGCACATTTGTGAACTGTTATAAATTTGCAAAATACTCAGTGAACCCGGTTTTTCTTTGTTAGTTCAGCATGCAATTTAGTGCAGAACCCTTTCAAGTCTAATCATAAGTATACATACTTTCAGTTCTAATTTTTAAAAAATATTTGGACACATAAAAATGCTTACTAGGGGCATGGATTTTCCATCTAAGCTCTGTGTACATATATAGAGTGTAGGGATGCAGAGACAGTACAGTAGGTAAGGTAAACCTTGCATGCAATCCACCTGGGTTTGTTTCCTGGCACCATATATGATTCCCAAGAACCTCCAGGAGGGATCCCAGAGCACAGAACCAGGAGTAATCTCTGAATACTGATGGTTGTGGCCCCAAAACCAAATTAAATAAATAAATGTATGTGGGATAATTTTTAAGAATATTGGTTTTGGGGTGAGGAGATAGCTCAAAGGACTGGAGAGATGGATTTAGAAGCCAGAAGCTATCTGGATTTAGATCACTGACACTTATTAAATGGGTAACCATGGACAAGTTATCTAACCTATCTTAATTTCCTCATTTGAAAGGTGATGAAAATATTAATCTTCCTGAATTAAAAACTAAAGTATATAAAAGTATATATGATATGTAATAAGTACTTGTAATGCTATAATAATTATAGTGGTGTTAGTAGATTTGTCAATAAAACTAGACTGAAAGAAGAAAACTAGGGGCTGGAGCGATAGCACAGCGGGTAGGGTGTTTGCCTTGCACGCAGACAACATGGCCGATACAGGTTCGATTCCCAGCATCCCTTATGGTGCCCCGAGTACCGCCAGGAGTGATTCCTGAGTGCATGAGCCAGGAGCAACCCCTGAGCATTGCCGGGTGTGACCCAAAAAGCAAAAAAAAAAAAAAAAAAAAAAGAAGAAGAAAACTAGTTACAAATATTCTAGAAATTAATAGGCATCTGGGGGATGTGGTTCAGTAGCAGAGTGTATGCCTTATGTATGTGAAACTCTGAGCTTGATCCCTGGCGCCATTAAAAAATATTTAAAAGGGGAGAGCCTTAGTCACCTTCTGCAGACATGGTGGGATAGATTGCTGCTGACTCCACATTGCTAGAGCATAGCCCCAAATAAACTCTACTGCACAGGGAGCCCTCAGCACCTCACAGCCTGATTAGCTACAGATGCGGCACACTGATGTATCTGAAGACTGGTGAGTGCTCTACAGAACAAAAATCCAGAGCAAAAAACAAACAAACAAACAAACAAAAAACTCAAATAAATAAATAAAGCCACATTTTGAAAAAAAAGATATTCTGATAAAGTACTTTCAACCAAAAACATAGTGAGAAAAAATGAGATGCTATCACTAAATCAGAGGAGTCAGTTCAAGAATATATGTATCCTGGGGGCTGGAGCGATAGCACAGCGGATAGGGCGTTTGCCTTGCATGAGGCCGACTTGGGTTTGATTCCCAGCATCCCATATGGTCCTCTGAGCACCGCCAGGAGTAACTCCTGAGTGCAGAGCCAGGAGTAACCCTTGTGCATCGCCAGGTGTGACCCAAAAAAGAAAAAAAAAAAGAATATATGTATTCTGTGTGAGTGTGTGTGTGTGTGTGTGTGTGTGTGTGTTTGTAAATTGTCATTAAAAATTACCAGTCTTTGGGGCTGGAGCAATAGCACAGAGGGTAGGGCATTTGCCTTGCATGCGGCCGACCCGGGTTCAATTCCCAGCATCCCATATGGTCCCCCAAGCACTGCCAGGAGTGATTCCTGAGTGTAGAGCCAGGAGTAACCCCTGAGCATCGGCTGGGTGTGACCCAAAAAGAAAAAAAGATTACCAGTCTTTGCCATTATAAAAGATTACATTAACTGGGGACATTGGTGGTGGGAAATGTACACTGGTGAAGGGAAGGTATATGACTGAAACCCAGTCTTGAACAACTTTGTAACCTTGTGTCTCACTGTAACTCCATTTAAAAAGGAAAGGTGAAATTGTATCACTGGGGAAAAGAGGAAATAGTATCATTGGAGAAAAAATGGATCTTGAGTTGATTATACTAAGTGAAATAAGGAAGTTAAAAACTATTAGATGGCTTTACTCTCAAGTGAAATATATGAGTCAACCTCTTTCCTGTTATTCGTCGATTGCCTCGAGCAGGCCCCAGTAACGTCTCTTTCATCCTAGCCCTGAGATTATATTCAGGGCTTTTTAGGAGAATGAGACCCATAATTGTTACTGGTATTTGGCATATTTGGTACGCCACGGGGAGTTTGCCAGACTCTGCCCTGTGGGCAGGCTACATTCGATAGCCTGCAAGTTTGTCCAAAGTAGGAATGAGATAATAAAATGTCATAAAAAGATGTCCTGATAAAATGTTCCGGGACCTGGATTTTATAGTCTCTGAGTCTTGGCCGCTGATGGGATTACACGGCGCCAGGGGGCCAGGTGGTGGGTGTGACCCCCGCCTACTGGAATTTGGAGGATCTGGGTGGAGGATGCTCAACTCCAATCCGAGTAGGCTTGAAAATCTCGGCCCCGGAACCCGCGTGGCTTTGTCCCTCTGCCAGTACCTTCATGCATGTGGAGAGTGGTCTCGGCATGGTGGTGGCTGGTCCTGGAGATCTTCTGCTGCCGGAGCCCTTGTCGGGGCGGGAGGAAAGCTCAACCCGCTCCCCTCCAAGGGACCCTGGTGAGGAACAGCCAGGTGCAGGGGCAGGAGACTGCACTGGTCTCGTCCGGGAGCTGGATTTTTTAGTCTCTGAAATATATGAGTAAAGCAAACAAAATAGCAAATGCCAATAGAATGGACTCCAAGACTCAGTGAAAATTATGGTAATTAGTGTGGAGAAAGGGGAGTGAAGGGGTAAGGGAGAATTTGGTGAAGGGGTGGTTTTGGTGGTGGGAGGGAAATAGAACTGTGATCAGGAACCACACCATATAATACACCATATAGAGGTGTCAGATTATTGCCCTGAAAATTTCAACTGCTGGGGCTGGAGCTATAGCACAGCGGGTAGGGTGTTTGCCTTGCATGCAGCCAACCCGGGTTCGATTCTCAGCATCCCATATTGTCCCCCGAGCACCGCCAGGAGCAATTCCTGAGTGCATGAGCCAGGAGTAACCCCTGTGCATCGCCGGGTGTGACCCAAAAAGAAAAAAAAAAAGAAAATTTAAACTGGGAAATCTGAAATATTTTAATGCTTTCAGAGTCTTTCATGAACTTTTATTTATAATGTTTTATGAACTATCTCTAAAAATTTAATTTTCTCAAAGTATTAAAATGTTCATTACTATTTGCAAGCTTGTATCCATTTTCTTCTTCTAACAGTATATTTTCAATGATTTTTATATAGTTAGTTTGCAATGGGGACCTTACTTGGACCATGACATAGGATCTCAGTTACCTTACTTGTGTTTTCTTGCAGGCATTTATCATTTCTAAAAATGTAATTTTCAAACATTTATTTAAAAATTATCTTACTTTTGGGACTGGAGAGATAGCACAGCAGGTAGGGCGTTTGCCTTGCACACAGCCGACCCTAGTTTGATTGCCAGCACCTGTATGGTCCCCTGAGTACCGCCAGGAGTAATTCCTAAGTGCCGGGTGTAACCCAAAAAGGGGGAAAAAAAAAGTGTGTATGTTTAAAATGAGGCTCAAGTATACCTAAAATGTCTCTTTGATAGTAAATTAACGTTCTTATTTTATGCTTATTTTACTGTTAGCTATGGTGATACTAATAGATTATACTAATAGATTGTCTGTAATGACAAAATTCAATTTTAATATTTGCTATCGCTCCCGCCCGGAACATACACAATTTTTATTTTTGCTCTGGGGAGTAAAGATTTAACAAAGCTCTTAAATTATCCCTTAATTTTGTTTACACACTCCATTTTATTTGTTTAAAATTTGATGTACTTGAGGGGGCTGGAGCCATAGCACAGCGGTAGGGTGTTTGCCTTACAAGTGGCCAAGATGGCCGACCCGAGTTCGATTCCTCCGCCCCTCTTAGAGAGCCCGGCAAGCTACCGAGAGTATCTCGCCCACATGGCAAAGCCTGGCAAGCTCCCCGTGATGTATTTGATATGCCAAACACAGTAACAAGAAGTCTCATGATGGAGACGTTACTGGGGCCCGCTCGAGCAAATCGATGAACAACGGGAGGACCGTGACCGTGACCACTCTGGGGAGTAAAGATTTAACAAAACTCTTAAATGATCCCTTAATTTTGTTTACACACTCCATTTTATTTGTTTAAAATTTGATGTACTTGAGGGGGCTGGAGCGATAGCACAGCGGGCAGGGTGTTTGCCTTGTACACAGCCGACCGGGGTTTGATTCCCATTTGGCCCCCTGAGCACCATCAGGAGTGATTCCTGAGTGCAGAGCCAGGAGTAACCCCTGAGCATCGCCAAAAAGAAAAAAAAATTGATGTGCTTGAGAAGTTCTGAGTACATCTTTATTAAGAATTTCTCCAGATTTGAATATTCTATCATTTAAGATATAAAGAGATTTTTGACCAGGAACACTAAGGGCACTGAAACATTCGTGGATAAAGTAGGTAATTCTGTGACTTTTGATTGATAATTCATTCTTGTCTTTGACGAGTCCTATTTCTTAGTAATAAATTGTACCTTGGTTAGGTAAATGAAGAGGAGGAAAACCAAGAAACAGAAAACATTTTTAAAGGATACCGTCCTGGTAAGCTCAAGCTTAGTTTTGAGGAAATAGAAAGACAAAGGAGAGAAGAAGAAAAGAGGAGAGCAGAAGAAGAAGCCAGAAGGAGAATAGAGGAAGAAAAGAAGGCATTTGCTGAAGCAAGGAGAAGCATGGTAAGATACCGCGTAAATGGAGGACGGATGCCATCAAGATTCAGCTTTTTAAGCTCTTGAGAGCATGTTAAAGTTTGTTAAATCATTTAACTTTGGGGGATGCAATGTCATTTCTGGAATTTGTGCCTGGAATAGGACTGACAAATATGTTTTTAAAACTTTAAGTCTCCTGTGGCACAGCAGCAGTTAAAAGTGACTCCGTCGGGGCTGGAGCCATAGCACAGCAGGTAGGGCGTTTGCCTTGCATGTGGCCGACCCGGGTTCGAATCCCAGCATCCCATATGGTCCCCTGAGCGCCGCCAGGAGTAATTCCTGAGTGCAGAGCCAGGAGTAACCCCTGACCATCACCGGGTGTGACCCAAAAAGCAAATAAATAAATAAGAACCAAAAAATTAAAAAAATTAAAGTGACTTCGTCAATATAGTGTTAAGAAGGTTCTGATTAGGGGGCTGGAGAGATGAGCTTGAGGACATACTTTGCATGCTAGAGGTCCAGGTTTGGTCCCTTAAGCACTGTTGGCGTAACTCCTAGGCACTGAATGCTGGGTGTGGCCCCCAAACAAACAAGTTTTGATTAAATTGCTGTGCTGGGTACAGAGAATTGAGTAGTGTCTTCCTTTTTTGAGAAGATGTATTTTATAGAACTATAAATCCAAGGAAGGAAGGACTAAGGAGTTTCCTATATATTCTCCTTCTCCTTTCCCTGTTCTTCCTTCCTTTTCTTCTTTAATTTCAATTTCCATCCCAAGCTATATATATTAAATGACCAGGGCCATATAATCACACTTACTTAACTTTGTATATTGCTCACCCGTCACTTTTATGTATTGATACAAATCTAATGGTCATAAAGTTATAAACATATTAGTGTTCATAAAACAGACAGTAATCTACAAACTTTGTTTTCAAGCAAACTGACATGTAAACATGGCATTTTGTTATTGAAAATTTTAACTGACTCAAGTGATTTCAACTTTTTTGTGTGTTTATTTAAATCTGGGTGAACTTTGACACATATACCAAGTGTTTATTTGGCCACATCATCCACCCAAATGACCAAATCAGAAAACCGGGGACAATAAACCTTTATTTGGTTTGGGTTTTGGACCACATTAGGTGGTACTCAGGGCATACTCCTGGCTCTGTGCTCAGGGATCACTCCTGGTGGGGTTGGGGGACTATGAGCTGCTGGAGATCAATCCCAGGATGACTGTGTAAATTTAGTGCTCTATCTGCTGTACTATCTCTCTGATCCTGCCATTGCTTTCACAAATAAATATTATTACTCTATATTCCTTAAGTAAAAATGAAACAAACTTAAAACATGTTTCTTTATATTTCTGCCCTAGCATATTTCTCCAGTTTTATTTCCTGATCCTTAATCTTCCACCTATGTTTCTACCATACTACATGTCTTTCCATTTCTTTAAAAAGATGTATTAGTGCTGGAGAGATAGTTCAGTAGGCAAGGGAGCTTGCTTTGCTCGCAGCAAACCCAAGTTCAATCCCTGGCATCCCATAGTTCCCCAAGCCCACCAGGGGTTATTTCTGAGTGTAGAGCCAGGAGTTACCCCCAAGTATCAGTTGTGGCCCGAAATGCATCCCCACAAGAAAAAAAACTTGAAAGAAAAAGCTATTTATTATTTGGGCTGGAGTTCCCGCTGCACTATCTCTAGCCCCGATGTCACTTTCTTATACTTTAAGTTTCTTGTACAGCTCAATAGCTTTAGTTCACGATTCGCATACAGGAGACCAGGATTCGATCCCCAGCACTGCAAGACCTCAAGCACTGTCAGGAGCAATCCCCAAGCACAAAAGAGCCCCCCAAATAAAAGGAAAAAATCTTTATATTTAATATATCCTGAAAGTAAATTAATAAAATAATAGTAGCACTGTCCTCCCATTGTTCATCGATTTGCTCGAGCAGGCCCGGTAACATCTCTATTGTAAGACTTGTTGTACTGTTTTTGGCATATGGAGTGTGTCACAGGTAGCTTGCCAGGCTCAGCTGTGATGGTGGGATACTCTTGGTAGCTTGCTGGGCTCTCCGAGAGGGGCGAAGGAATCGAGTCCGGATTGGCCACGTGCAAGGCAATCGCCCTACCCGCTGTGCTATTGAGTGATATTTGCAGGGCTGGAGTGGTAGTACAGTGGGTACAGCATTTGCTTTGCATAAGGATGACCCAGATTTGATCCTTGGCACCCCATAGTTCTGCCTGAGCACTGCCAAGAGTGATCCCTAAGCAGATAGCCAGGAAAAAGCCCTGAAAGCTGCTGGATGTGGCAAAAGCAAACAAACGTGATATTGCCTGATTATGATGGGATCCAGATGAGTCATCTATTCAAACATCGTGATTTACTTAAAATTAGTTCTATTTCAATGACCAGATTAGTGATTTGTTTAAAACCCATTAAAGTTTTCTTGATATTAAAAAATCTTAGGGTGTTTGCCTTGCATGCGGCCAACTGGGCCAACCCGGGTTCAATTCCTCTGCCCCTCTCAGAGAGCCCAGCAAGCTACCGAGAGTATCTCGCCCGCACGGCAAAGCCTGGCAAGCTCCCCATGACGTATTCGATATGCCAAACACAGCAAAAACAAGTCTCACAATGGAGACGTTACTGGGTCTCCTCAAGAAAATCGATGAACAAAGGATACTCTTGGTAGCTTGCTGGGCTCTCCGAGAGGGGCGAAGGAATCGAGTCCGGATTGGCCACGTGCAAGGCAATCCCCCTACCCGCTGTGCTATTGAGTGATATTTGCAGGGCTGGAGTGGTAGTACAGTGGGTACAGCATTTGCTTTGCATAAGGATGACCCAGATTTGATCCTTAGCACCCCATAGTTCTGCCCCACAGTGACAGTCACAGAAAATCTTAACATCTAACTCAAATTAATTATTTATAGTGTAAATAAAGTATGTGTGTTCATTGGTGTAGAGGCCCCTATTTTCTCTGCAATGACTTTTTTTTTTTTTTTTTTTGCTTTTTGGGTCACACCCGGCGATGCACAGGGGTTCCTCCTGGCTCTGCACTCAGGAATTATCCCTGGCGGTGCTCAGGGGACCATATGGGATGCTGGGAATTGAACCCAGGTTGGCTGCGTGCAAGGCAAACGCCCTACCCGCTGTGCTATCACTCCAGCCCCTGCAATTACTTTTTTAAATGGAATCACTGTGATATACAATTACAAGCTTTCATGTTTGAGTTTCGATCATATAATGATAAAACACCCATCCCTCCACCAGTGCACATTCTCCACCACCAATGTCCTCAGTATACACCCCCCTTCCCAACCATCCTCTTGCCTCCATGGCAGACAATTCCCCCCACCCCCACTGTCCACGTTTGAGCATTATGGTTGGCAATACATATACTGAGAGGTTATCATGTTTGGTCCTTTATCTACTTTCAGTACACCTCTTCCATCCCGAACAATTTTTTCAACCATCATTGTTTTAGTGATCCCTCCTCTATTCCAGTTGCCTCTCCTCCAGCTCATGAGACAGGCTTCCAACTATGGGGCCCTTGGCAATCACATTTCTTTTTTTTTTAAATTTTTATTAGTGAAACACCATGAGGTACAGTTGTAGACTTAGAGTTTTGTGCTTGGGTTTCAATTATACAATGATTGAGTACCCATCCCTTCACCAGTGCCCATTTTCCACTACCACGGATCCCAGTATCCCTCCCACCCCCACCCCCTACATCCCACCCTGCGTCTGTGGCAGGGCATTCCCCTCTGTTCTCTCTCTCCTTTTGGATGCTGTGGTTTGCAAAAGAGGCATTGAGTGGCAATCATGTTTGGTCTATAGTCTACTTTCAGCATGCTTCTCCCATCCTGGGAGGATCCTCCTAGCACCCTTTATTTGGTGCTCCCTTCTCTATCTGAGCTGCCCTTTCCCCTAGCATGTGTGGCTGGCCTCCAAGCCATGGAGTAAACCTCCTGGTACTTATCTTGGCTATTCTTGGGTGTTAGTCTCCTATTTAGTTACTTTATGTTCCCCAGATGAATGCAATCTTTCTATGTCTGTGCCTTTCTTTCTGACACATTTTGCTTAGCATGATACTTTCCATGTAGTACCATTTGTATATGAATTTCATGACTTCATCTTTTCTAACAGCTGCATAGTACTCCGTTGTATAGATGTACCAAAGTTTCTTTAACCAGTCAGTCATCTGTTCTCGGGCACTCAGGTGTTTTCCAGATTCTGGCTATTGTAAACAGTGCTGCAAATGAACAAAAAAGTGCAGATGTCACTTCGACTATACTTTTTTGCCTCTCTGGGATATATTCCCAGAGTGGTATTGCTGGGTCAAATGGGAGCTCAATTTCTAATTTTCTGAGAATCGTCCATACTGTTTTCCAAAAGGGCTGAACCAGTAGGCATTCCCACTAGCAGTAAAGGAGGGTCCCTTTCTTGCCACATCCGTGCCAACACTGGTTGCTTTTGTTATTTTGTATGTGGGCCAGTCTCTGTGGTGTGAGATCGTATCTCATTGTGGTTTTGATCTGCATCACCCTGATTATTAATGATGTAGAGCATTTTCTCATGTGCCTTTTTGCCATTTGGGCAATCACATTTCTTAATCCTACATTTTAAAATAATTATTTGTTTTATTCTTTGTTTTGGGGCCACACTTGGTAGCGTTCGGGGGTGAGTTCTGACTCTGCTAAAGAATAACCCCTGGCAGTGCTTGGGAGACATTGGGAATTAAAGTACAGCCATCCCCAAAGCAGGATAGGTCTTTCCTAGAGTTGAAGATAATTAAATATCCTTGTTTTAATTTCCATGTGAAAACTTTTTTTGAGGGGGGCCACACCAAAAGGTGTTCAGGGCTTATTCTTGGCTCAGTGTTCAGGGACCGTTCCTGGTGAGTCTTGGGAGACCATCTGGGGTGCTAGCAATTGAAATCCAGCCAGCCAGCTATACTCTCTCCAGTCCCTACTTGCAGTGTGAAAACTAATACTCGAGTAATATTTCTATAGGAGAGCGCTTACTATTATTTTGTTTTGTGGTCACATCTTCAATGCTCAGTGGCTACACCAGGCACAGTGCCAGGGGTTTCTCCTGAGTGTGTTGTACCCGGGGAACATGTGGTTCTGTGCTTTGAACCCAAGACTACTGCTTGTGAAGCATGCACTTTGGCCATCGAAATCATCTCTCTGGCCCTTTCCAATGTATATAACTTTGGGAAGAGTTACAAAGTATTACAACTTTTATTTATTTTATTTATTTATTTGGTCACACCTGGCAATGCACAGGGATTACTCCAGGCTCATGCACTCAGGAATTACTCCTGGCAGTGCTCAGGGGACCATATGGGATGCTGGGAATCAAACCCGGGTTAGCTGCATGCAAGGCAAACACCCTACCTGCTATGCTATCGCTCCAGCCCCTTACTACTTTTTAAAAAGTTATTATTAAATATTTTATTTAATTTAAAATAGATTGTAGATGATGATGCCCCAGAGATGTACAAAACAATCTCTCAAGAATCTCTTACACCTGGAAAACTGGAAATCAATTTTGAAGAATTATTAAAACAAAAAATGGAAGAGGAAAAAAGACGAACAGAGGAGGAACGCAAGCATAAGTTAGAGCTGGAAAAACAGGAATTTGAACAGTTGAGACAAGAAATGGGAGAGGTAAGACTTTAACCAATTATATTATTAAAAAATGTTTCATATTACCTTATAGTAACTTTCTGAGGAGTATTATTCACATAAAGGACACTCACTCAACCATGAGGTACTAAGTACAAGTTTCAGTATAGTTAAGTATGCCCCTTTTTTTGGGTTTGTTTTTTGGGCAACACCTGACAGTGTTCAGGAATTATTCCTGGTGGGGTTTGGGGGGACATACCATATGGAATATCAGGGATCAAACCCAGGTCAGCCTCATCAAGTCAAGCACACTACCTGCTGTTACTTTCTCCAGACCGGTATGGCACTTTCTGGCTTGCTGTAACTCTACCTCCCTTACTCACAAATCACAAATCATCGTTATTCGTCGATTGCCTCAAGCAGGTCCCAGTAACGTCTCCTTCAACCTAGCCCTGAGATTATATTCAAGGCTCTTTAGGAGAATGAGACCCATCATTGTTACTGGTATTTGGCATATTGGGTACGACACGGGGAGTTTGCTAGACTCTGCCCTGTGGGCAGGCTACATTCGGTAACCTGCCAGTTTGTCCAAAGTAGGAATGAGATAATAAGATGTCATAATAAGATGTCATAATAAGATGGCCGCATTTGCGGCCGCGCGGTTCCGGGAGCTGGTTTTAAGTCTCTGAGTCTAGGCCGTTGATGGGATTACACGGCGCCAGGGGGCCAGTTGCAATTGCAAGTGAGAGATGTTACTATAGTAATGAGTAGATATTTCTTCCTATATATACCTCACACTTTTGTGCCTTTAAGTGATTGAAAACTGTTCTTATAATACTTTATATATCTGATGAAGCTCAGGGGTTATTCCTGGCTCTGCTCTCAGTACTCATGGCTGTGCTCAGGGAACCATATAGGATGTTGGGGATCGAACCCAGGTTGGCTGTGGCAAGGCAAGCTATCTACTGTATTCTATCTACTGTATCCTATCTACTGTATTCTCTGTAGCCCAATATTTAATATCTCATAACTTTGCTGTTGCTGGGGATCAGAGATTGAGCCCAAGGCCTCCTACTTTCATAGGCATAGACTATGAAATAGGCATAGACAGTAAGCCACATCCCTGCTCCCTTCCTTCCCTTTTGTTTTGGGTTTACTTGGTGGTATTTGGTCACTCCTGGCAGTATTTGGAGGGCCATGTGGTCCCAGGGCTTCAATTGGGACCTCTGGCAGCATGCATACTTAGTCCTCTGAGCTGTCTTGTCTTTTTTTTTTTTTAAGTGTTATGAGTGTGTTATGTTTCTTGAGACAATTAAATTGAAAAAAGTGAAAATACTGAAGCAGTATTATGGACATTAATAGGAGTATTTGGCAAGTCTTTGAATTATTTGATTATCCTTAGAACATTATTATTAAAAATTAACTTACATAATACGAACACATAATCATATATTTTACTACCAGACATTGTAAGGTCTATTACGTATATACATATCAGCATGGGTATATATGCAAACATACACATAGGCCATTTCATAAGCATGTAGCTTGTGCCCTCATAGAATCTAAACGCTTAGAAGAGTCATGCTTTGGATTTTTGCTATCTTAAATTTTTTATTTTGGGGCCACACCCACCTATACTCAGGGGCAATTCCCAGATGGGTGCTGGGAGGACTTGTGCATGTAGTACCAGGGATTTATTTTTATTCAGGCAATTATTTTTAACGCTTTTTGAATTGGTGGCAGGGTCTCCTGCCCCCGCGCCTGGCTGTCCTCACCAGGGCCCCTTGGAGGGGGGAGGGTTGAGTTTCTTTCCCCCCTCCCTGCCCCGAGCAGAGCCCCAGCAGCTGAGGACCTCCGGAGCCAGCCACGGCCATGCTGGAACCACTCTCCACACATCTGGACGGGCCTCATGCATGAAAGAACTGGCAGAGGAACCCAGGCATGCGGGTCCCGGGGCTGAGGTCTCCAACCCTACTCGGATTGGGACTGGGACTTCTCCAACCAGACCCCCCTCTTCCAGTAGATAGGCGTCATACCCACCAGCTGCTGCCAGCGCCAGGTTGATGCCATCAACGGCCAAGACGCAGACTATAAAATCTAGCTCCTGGACATCTTATCATCTTCCCCCCCCCCCCCCCTTTGGAGAACCTGGCAGGCAACCAAAAGCATCCTGCCCGAACGGCAGAGTCTGGCAAACTTCCTGTGTCGTATTCAATATCCCAAATACCAGGAACAATGATGGGCCTCATTCTTCTAATCCTGAAAGAGCATTGAAATTGCTTTCAAAATCTCAGGGCTAGGATGAAGGAGACGTTACTGGTGCCTGCTCGAGGGAATCGACGAACAACAGGATGCTTGTGCTTGTGTGCTTGTGCTTGAATCGGTGTGTGTTCCAAGTAAAAGCTGATTAACATTATTTACACTGGCACTGTAATTTCTTGCTCTGCTTTGTTGGATAGAGTAGAACTAAAGCGTCATGCATAATTCTGGCAACAATAACCATTTCCTTAGTAGTGTGTGGGCCATGGGTGGTATGTTGGACATCCCTACCCTTTAGGCAGTGAAGTCTTGGCTTACCTGTAACTTTCTGTTTGTCTCCTCAGGGTGGGGCCTTAGCAACTTTCTTCTCACTTCCGTAAGTCCCAAGGCCCACATACTTATTTCCACCTCTGTGGATTCTGCCTCCAGCCTCCATCTAGAGAGCCAGTAATCAGTGTAGGCAGAAGAGAGGAGGGTTAAGGAAAAGTCTTATATTTCCATCATGTACTTATATTTCCTGTCAGAGAATGAGTAGCAGTTATGAGGATTGGGGACAGCTATAGCTTGGGTCGAGGTGATGTCTCACCTTGGCCTAGCAGTGAAGTAGCACCACCCCCCCCTTTTTTTGGTGGTTCCTAGAATCCAACCCAGGGTCTCACACACATCTAAGGCAAGCGGCCTACTGTTAAGACACATTGCAACCCAAGGCACTTTGTTTAGAGGTTGTATAAGCTTTATTTTTTTAATTTCAAAGAATAAATGGTCAGCATTTACCAGCATTTAATAATAGGAGTATTTGGCAAGTCCTTGAATCATTTTATCATCAAACTATTGTATGGCAGTTTTTTGCGGGGAAGTCACACCCAGCAGTGTTTAGGGGCCACTCCTGGCAGTAGAGGTGGTTTGTGCTGAGATTCAAACCAGGATTGCAGCTGAGGCCGTATGAGGCAAGTGTCATTATACAAGTTCATCGCCTGTACGAACATATCTACAGCCATAATTTTTTGAAACTCTCCTTCAAGTATTGAGCAATGACAAATTTTCCCATTCTATGAGGCGAGATAGGGTTTTGCTACAAAATGTTTAAAGAAAATAGCAATATGTTGTTTCGTTTTTTACTGACATTGGGGTCTTATGCAAGGCAAGTGCTCTACCGCTGAGCTACATACATCCCCCAAATACTTCCCATTTTGGGGATGAGGGCACATCTGGTGATTCTGTAGGTGTACTTCAAATTTGGTGCTTGGGAAGACTGTTAAATGATAGAACACTGGGACCCTAATTTGTAATAAAATTAGGTATCTTCTTAATTTGTAATAAATCATTAGGAAAGCTGAGAAAAAGAAGGAAAATGAACTAAAAAATGGATAAAATGGCAAAGAACTGGTTAATTTTTGTTGACTGTTTTAATTTGGCAGAATATAGAATTGAAAACACAAATGACTATGCAGTAAAGTGTGGGCATTTTACCAGATCGTATCAGTTGAAATAACTTAGCTTGAACACTGAGTGAACACTTATATTATCATCATATTAAAGACAGAACGAATTTTAGAATATCTTTATTTTCAAAGTTTTATGCCACATCCAGCAGTGCTTAGGCAGTACTCCTGGCTTTGTGATCAGAGGACACTGAGTAGTGCTGAGAATTTAACCACAATCAGCCACATGCAAAGATCCTTAACTCGTCTTTTTCTCCCTGCCTTTTCTGGCTCTCCTTCATAGATGAAGAAATTGTGTTCCATTGGATTGAACTAGGTAAAAGACTACATGTCATCAGCACTAGCAACTTTACCTACTCAATTCACAGTCCTCCCAAGTACCTTTCTTCATTTTCCCCTAAACAAAGGTTTTCCTAGAATTTCTAGCTATTAACAAATTCCACTTAAAACATCCGAATTTTAGCACTACAATAGAATGCTGAGTTGAACCATATTTTTCCTAAGCATGATACATTACATACATCCCTCCCTTCCCCAGCAAGAGCTTTTCACCCAACTGTTCAGCATACTTGTGGGCTACTCTGCCCAGGGTTCACTTCTGGAGGTGCGGGGTGGGTGGGTGGGTGGAGGGGGGACAATATGCAGTGCTAAGGACAGAACCAAGGTAAACTGCATGCAAGGCAAAGCACCCCTAATCTATTTTTCCAACCATGTTTTCCAATAATCTTTTTTTTGGGGGGGGGGGGGGGAGGACGGGGTATCTCTCTCAAATGGTGCTCTGGAGTTCCAGGCCCCCAGACCAAGTGGCTCAATGAAAAGGGAGAAAGACATCATTGAACTATTCTAAGAGAAAATTTAAGTGTTATTTATAGTCTTAATATTTTTTGGGGGTCACATTTTTTGGGTGCTTTGGAGTGACCCCTGGCGGTTTGGGGGAATCATATGTAATTCTAGGAATTAAAACTGGGGTCAGCTGTAGACAAGGGAAACACCTTACTCCTGGTACTTTCTCTCTGGACCTAGTCTTAGTATTATTTTTAATTCGTAAAAATAGGCATGGACTTTTCTTTTTTTTTTTTTTTAAAAACAGTGCCAGATATCAAATCTGGGGCCTAACACATGCTGGGCATCTTTTTTACGAGTGATCCACACCCAAAACCAAGGCATGTGGGTTTGTTTAGTGAGGTTACTCTAGCTATACTTCTAGCCTCAATATACGGTTGTTATTTTGGGTATATTCTAGTAGTTAATATACAAAATCTTTATTTTAAAGGAAGAAGAAGAAAATGAAACATTTGAACTAAGCAGGGAATATGAAGAATTAATCAAACTGAAAAGGAGTGGGTCTATTCAAGCTAAAAATCTGAAAAGCAAGTTTGAAAAAATTGGACAGTTGTCTGAAAAAGAAATACAGAAAAAGATAGAAGAAGAACGAGCGAGGAGGAGAGCGATTGACCTTGAAATTAGAGAGCGAGAGGCAGAAAACTTCCATGAGGTATTTCTTCTTACATTCTGAATTGTTATAGAATAGTAATGATAATGAACTTAGCAGAAAGTAACACTGTCTTTAAAATGATTGTTGGTATGTAACCATTGATATATATAAGGGTCTGGCACCTAAATGGAAAAAGCATATCAAAATCTTAAGAGGAGGCGGAAGTAGAATAGATGTTATGGCACCGGTCTTTCAGTTTACCCCTGCCTGCAGTGGCAAAAACACCATCCCCCAAACGATCTAATGAGACTTTGAAAGATTTACCTATTTCAAAATTATCCACTGGCACAAGTTTTAGTTTGACTCAATAGAACCAGTGTATTTTTTTGGGGGGGGTGGGGGGAGGTCACACCCAACAATGCTTAGGGCTCTGCACTTAGGGATTACTCCTGGCGGTGCTCACAGGACCATATGGGATGCTGGGGATTGAAGGTCGGATGCATGCAAGGCAAATGCCATACCCACTGCACTACTGCTCTGGCCCCAGATCCAGTATATTTTCAGGTGAAAATAGACCCCAGAGATGTCATGACCATGGTTCAGTGGCAGGGCCTAAGAATTCAGGTAAGAATTTGAAACATTTTCTATGTAAAATAAGGAGACAGTCACTGTTCTTGTTTCTCCATTTTAGTATTTTAGTTTTTGGGCACACCTGGCAACACTCAGGCTGTCTTACTTTTTGTCTGTTCAAGGATCATTCCTGGTTGGGTTCAGAGAACCATATATGGCGGGAGGGACAGAAACCAGGTTGGTGGCATGCAAGGCCCTATCCACTGTATTATCTTTCCAGACTCCAAAGGTCTCAATCATGATCATTAACAGGTGACTTGACCATAAAGTCAGATATTATGTTATGGCATTTTGTTTTATAGGATTGCACTTGAAAGTATTTTCAACACATGGGATGCATTTGGTAAAGTATCTGAATAGCTGAAGCTAATTCAAACATCTAAGATTCCCACATTAATAACTTGGGGGGCAGAATACAGAAGGTAATGCACTTATTTTGCATAGAGCTGTCATGGCCACAATCCTGGCTCAAATCCCTGGTACCATATATGGTCCCCTGAGCAGTCTCAGGGGTTAGTCACTCCAGGAGAGTCAAGGAGGGGCACCATGGCCAATCTGGATACTTAAATGTGTTCCAGTAAGTGTTCTGTACACTGTATTCTAGATTGAATAAAACCTAGAGTTTCTGATAATGTATTGTACAGGGTGGTTGGAGGAGGCCTGACAAGAATCTGAACCAGGGCTGGGAGGAAAGGATTCTAATTACTGAAAATACTTCACAAAACAATGAAATTAGGGGGATAGAGAAAATTTCCATGCCTACACAATAGCACAAAAGAGAAAGCACCAAAAATACTCATTGCTCTTACTGGTTTTTTAGAAAATAACTAATTCTCATTCATGGCCCACTTTCTTGGGGGTTGGGGGTATTGGGACACACCAGGCAAATACCTTGGCTCTGAACTCAGTAATCATTCCGGGCGGTAACCACAGGGTGTCAGGGATGAGGCTGATCGTGTTCCAAGGCAGGTGCCCTACTCTGCTGTGCTATTGCTAACCCACTTTCTAAAAATAGGATGAAGATGTTGATATCAAGCCTGCAAAGAAAAGTGAGGCTCCGTTTACTCACAAAGTAAATATGAAAGCTAGATTTGAACGTATGGCTAAGGCAAGAGAAGAGGAGGAACAAAGAAGAATTGAAGAACAAAAGTTACTGCGGATGCAGTTTGAACAAAAAGAAATTGATGCAGCACTACAAAAGGTACTGGGTTTACATATTCCTTGTTGTCCTAAGATGGTCTTAAAAGAGTTTCCTCTGAGAAAAAAAAAAAGCATTTTATTTACATTTTTAGCTTCTGGACCACACTTGGTGGTGCTCAGTGCTTGCTCCTGGACTGATTCTGCACTCCTGCCTGGTGAGCTCAGGATAGAGGGTAGTAGGATTCGAACACAGGGCACCTGTGAGCAAGGCAAATGCCTTACTTGCTGTATTACTGTTCCAGTCCCAGAATTTTAGTAACTCTCAAAAGTCACTGGACTACCAGTTCTCACTCAGCAGGTACATGGGCACAGAAAAGTTGAAAACCATCGATATTCAATGCAGTACACTTTGTGGTACTTATTATTTACCTTCAAAATTTTATTACTAAAGCAATGCTTGAAAAATGCTAATAAGGCATTATCAATTTCAATGTCCTTATTTTTAGAAAAGAGAAGAGGAAGAGGAGGAAGAAAGTAGCATCATGAATGGTTCCACTACTGAAGATGAAGAACAAACAAGATCAGGAGCCCCATGGTTCAAGAAGTCTCTAAAAAACACATCGGTTGTAGATAGTGAGCCAGTTCGATTTACTGTTAAAGTAACAGGAGAACCTAAACCTGAAATTACATGGTGGTTTGAAGGAGAAATACTGCAGGATGGAGAAGACTATCAATATATTGAAAGAGGGGAAACTTACTGCCTCTATTTACCAGAAACTTTCCCAGAAGATGAAGGAGAGTATATGTGTAAAGCAGTCAACAATAAAGGCTCTGCAGCTAGTACCTGTATTCTTACCATTGAAAGTAAGAATTAATCATTATTAATCTTAAACTTTTGTTCTATTTATTCTACTTTCTTTTAAAAAGTTACTTTTCCTTTCTCTTTTTTAGCTGACTACTAGGCTCCCCTTCTCTCTCCAACTTTCTTACTACATCTATTTTTTTCCTATGGCGGGGCTAAAAAACGAAGCCAGAAGTGCCACTGTGTTGCCTTCTTTTCCTTTTCCTAAGTCTTCAAGTACTCGTCATCTGAAGACTGCCTTCTTGCTTTCCAAAGAGCACCAGAACCATCACCATGGGCAGTAAAATTTAATGTGCATTTAAAAGGGGAAAGTGGGACATCAATTCATTGTATCAGAACGTACGAGAAAGGCTGTGTGTTTTTCCTGCAACTTTACAGAAATCGTGTTTTTTAAAAAAATAAAGTAGAACACAATGTTTTGCATGAAATGCTATTTGAGCTATTTACAAACCTAAGATTAGTCTGAAATAGCTAGTAATGAATCTGGAACCTATCAAATTAAGTGGACTTTTCCTCTTAGTTAATCATTTGATGGTTGTGGCTTCAAAGTCTTTCTGACTCAGATTGGGCATGGTGTAGAGGAGATGAAAGTCATCCTTTTGATGGGAAGGAAATTAAGGGCTTTAACAATTTCCAAGAAAAAAAATCTGCGGCAATCACTGCCTAGAATTCAGAGTGTTAAGATTATGAGTTTTTCAAATGTGTGTAATATATGTTCAACCTTATAAAGCAACTGGTATTTTATTGAGAATATTGTATGCACAGATCACGTGGAAGTAAACACTTTGTCAACAGGAAAGATTTCAAGACCCACGAGGATTTTCTTTAGGAAAAACAACAGTATCTTCAAATTTCAATTACGGTCTCTAAGTCTGTAAATAATTAACTATCATGTTCTGCTATCAGATTGTTTTATATTTTAATTTTCTGGAGGACAATTTTATTTTACAATGTAAATCCATAATAAAGCAATTCTGTATTAAATGAAGTCATGCAGTGTTTTACAAAAGACAAAGCACTCCCTTATAATATTTATCAATGACATTTAATTTTTATTGAGAAAACCATAATCAGTACAAAATTACAGTAATCATGTGCCCTTTACATACAATGTCATTAAAGCACAACTCTTAGCCACAGTTTGTAAAGTATTCAATTTACCTCAAGTCCAAGCTGCCATCTCCCTAAGACACTGTTCCCATCACAGTAGCCATTTTAAGCCAATCTTCTTTTTACACACGGGTAGTTTCTGTAGAGAACACTTTTCTCAGGACGAAAATGCATTGAGCATGCATAAGAAAAAATATTTATATGCGCAAATACATTTAAGAGTTCTATAGGGATATCACTGAAGAAAATAAAACTTTGGGTTTTGCTTTTTAAAAGCACCTATTAAAAAAATCCCTTTGAAGCTTATACTGTGCAAGGAAACTCAAGTGACTAAACAAGAAGTAAGGTTATTTTCAAGAGACAATTTTTTCATTAACTAGTATTGTTAAAATGATTTAAAAGTGAGGCAGAATTTTCAGAAAATAAAAACAAGACATTCTCATTGATTATTAATTTCTACATCCTTATTTCAGGAAACAGTTAAAACAATACAGGTAGAACTGGTTCTTCTGGCAGAGTACTCAAACAAATGAAATATAAGTTCTGAATATATTCCTACTTCCTTCTTACTGTATTTTACCACACCTACTCAAACCACCCTTTATTAACTACTAAGATATTTGTGTAAGGATATATTTTACAATGTTTACACAAACAACTAGTATTAAATCACTAGCTTTAATATTAAAAAGATTTTTATGAATTAAGTACACCTTTCACATCTAAAAGAAATATCAAACCAGAAGAATTCTAAAAACCACACTAAAAGCGACCTTTAAAAATAACATTGTCCAGTTTCTTTATAAGTGCTAGTAAATCCCATTTCAATCTAACTAAACATTGTTTCTACAACCCCTAACACATCCACTGCATTCAAGTCAACTGGCTCACCTTTTCTGCTTTCCATTAATTTCAAGGTTAAGAATAGCGCCATTAAAAAATGCTTGTAGTATTCAAGTGAAGGCTTATGGTAATGAAAAAAATTCTCATGAGACACAATGCTCCAATATCTATTAGCATTCATCTACATTTTCTTTCATAAAAATGCAAACTTCAACTAACCAAGACTCAACACTCTTAAAAGGTTCAAAAGAACCTCTTATATCAATCTTAACATGCCTATCATTGACTACTAAAACACACACACACACATACACACACATAAATGTGGTGCAGTAACTACATAACTTATGAAATTTAACAGTTTATGGAACATTTAAGAAAGTGAATAGCACTTAAAAATAAAAAGTGATCAAAAGCAGGTACATTACACCCTATATCATATTATGTATGGGAATACATTTCATATTTCTCAATTATGACTTGCCAATTTTACCTTCTACATTGAGCCCTTCTATGGTCCATGCTCATCGGCTCACCAATGGCATACACTCAAAGGATTCCTCTTTATGGGTAACTATCTCAGGACCTGATTTTATGAGCTATGATTTGGTGCTTGCAGCATCTTCAGCACTGTGTGTGAAAATGAAGGCAGTATTTTTGAATGGTTTTCTTTGTTGTACAGATAAGCAGGAATTTTAAAAGGATCAGCACATTTTAGAAATTTAATAAACAAAACGGATTACTATGATGCTGCTTTAAAACAGTCATCTTAACTCAAAGTATGTACCAGTTAAAATCATTATAAGAACACACCAAACATTTTAAACTGGCAAAAATGCAGTGTCAGTTATTAAAGTAGTATAAATCAGAAAAATATTGGTTGCTATACAAATATGAAAGCTTATTTGCCATACAGTTAACATTTCATTGATGCATATCTTTTATCAAAACGTACTGCCAGTACTCCTTATAATTTCCCCCTTTTCAGTGTATATAAAAGCTAAGGAAACTGAACTGTCTTAAAAAAAAAAAAAGTCACAAAACTCTGACCCATAATATCCTCACTGTATTACTATAGTTCAAGGAGAAAAAAATAAAAACTCCATTGAGGTTTGGCGGGTAAAGAAATTGTCCTATCAATCAAACAGATTGTGAAGGCTGTTGAAGCTTCTCCCCAAGGGACTTCCTAAATCTGGGAAACTATGCAATTGTCCTTTCTTAATTTTAACAATTCTACACTTGGGAAAAGATTACAAAAAGTTTGGATAGTTCGTTATAGCAGCAATCTACTCATTTTCTTGTTTCAATAAAAAAAATTAAAATAAAAACATTACCCAGAAATTGTAAACAGTTGTTTGAACAACTTACAGACTTTCCATTGAAAGGGTAGCATAAAGAACAAAGTACATTTGGGGGAAGCAATAGCAGATTGCTCTTGAATACACAACCACAAAAACCTCACAGGGACAACATTAATGTACTGAAATATTTATTTATATATGTCCTTAGGTTGTGCTTACCTGTTGCTTTTTGCAGCAGAACCTAAGGTGGAAGGTCTGGGAAGGCACTGTGAAGTATAAATAATTGCACTGTTTGCAATTAATAAAGATTTTAAACCTTAAAATGAATCAAAATCAACAGCCTCCAATTTGTGAGTCATGATACTGAATCCAATTGAACTATTTCTTCAGTTTAATCAATAAATGCACCACTTTCCTAAACGGTCATCTGTAAAACGGTATCATGCAGAATACTGAAATTGTTCAGGTCAATACCCTACTCTCCTAAAGATAACAGGTAAGTCCCTTAACTATTAAACTTCAAACTACAACTAAATATCCATTCTAAATAAGGGTAAGGGAAATCACTAAAGATTCTATAAAACAGTAAAAAACATTTCAATATCTACAATAAACTATACTATTTTCTATCCTGCAGGAATCTCAACATTTACGTCCTTGTACATCTTTTATTGCATATTCAGAAAAACAAATGGTGCTCCCCACCAATGAAAGAACTCATATTTATGACATGGTGTTAAAATTGCTTAGTAACTGAAAGGCTACTCCTGTCTGATACATTTCAAGTCTTTCATATTAATATAAGATATGCATATTTTATACTGAATACCAATATATTTTAGGAGCACCAACAAGAAATACTCTTCACTTTGTTAACCATCAGTTTTCTTTAGCTGGAGCTAAAGCACATCAAAAATACTTACCCATTAAGCTCACTTAAAAAAAATACAGAGACCTATGTATTATTCTACATTAAATTAGAGAAGCAGTTATGGTTTTCCAAGGTATCAGCACTGTATTCCAACATAATATTCACACAGAGTATGGCATTTACATTATGTGGAACATTGACAAAAAGATACTGTTGCAGTTCATCAATTTGTCATTCTGATGTACTTACAGTGCAATGCTCCTTGAAGGAACACATTCAAGGATGATACACAGCACAGTCCTCCTCACCCCTACAGAGCTAGTTCTATACTGGCTGGATCAAACCTGCACTTCAACAGACAATGGCAAGACAGACTGTATATTTGCATGTAGTCTAATATATTAATATGCAAAGAGCCAACAAATATGCAAAGAGTAAAACAATGGATTTCAACAAAATATCAGAACTTCAGCATGAGTGTTATAGAGTAATAAAATGATTAAAAATACATAAAAAATTAAGTTGAATTCAATGATTGGACTTGTGCATTTACAAAACAAAGCTTATCTATACTGCAAAAAGAAAATGAAAAAAAAAAAAAAAGCTCAAACAATTCCACACCCCAATAATGTTTCAATGGCAGATGCGCTGTAGCTCAACTTTTTGCATACTATTTCACTGGTTCTACCCTGAATTTAGAAAGAAACACACTATATTGTATATACATCAAAAGAGTTGCTTTACATGAAAAAACTGTTCTTATTAGACTATTCATTCACTATTGAAAACTTTTAAATTAGTTATGCTGAAATAGTCTTGGAAATCAAGTAATTATCAAATCAAGAACAGAAAGGTTAACTGTTATAGCAGCAGTACAGGTCTGAAACAGTGGTCATGTATAAAAAGAAATTTCACTGTTAATGCAATGGAAGTATGCCAAAAGATCACTGTATACACATGCAGTTTTTAATCAAACAGAAGGGAAAAAATGAAGATATCAGGATTACTTGTGCTGAAACAGCCAAATACAATAATGGAAAAGATCCTCCATCTATCACTATACTGCAAGGGGGAAAAAACATGCCAGTGTTTATAAAAAAAAAGCTCAATTAATATTTCATGGGGAACGCTTAAATATTTGTGTATGTATCTTATCACTGCTAAGAAATTATGAATCCTTTAAATACCCACATATCCAACTTACCGACACAGGAGGTTTCATATCATTTATTGTAAAGCACAAAACAGGCATTTTTAAAAGTGA